TTTGTCAGGCGAAGTGATCAATCATGTGGATTCTCTTTTCTGTAGGATAGCAAAGGTTATGTGGCAGAAGGTCAGGGATATTGTCTTTATTTAGTGCACATCTTGCTAAAAATAAACAGGTGATCACTTGTTTTCTGTTGTCATGTGAGTATTTTTTTTTTTCCTATTAAATGTAGACACTCCAGACATCTAGGCTATTCTTGGCTACTGTTGGATGAGACCTGCTAAAGCATGGGATCTCAGGAATGCTGAAGGCTAGGAAATGTTTTTGACTGTTGAGCAAAACAGGAGCGAATTATCAGAATTGTGACCTGCAGCATTTATCCTGCTGCTTCAAGGCCAGTGTGGTACTTTCAAGGTTATTCTGACTCTCGCAAGCCTGGTGAAAACAAGATATTAAGGGGCAAGTGGTTTCTTCTGTTGTTTTCCTAAAATTTTAGGATCATTCCATTTTTCCTCTGAAACATTAGAAATAAAATGGAAATAGATTAGGATTGTGTGTGTGGATTATTTCATATTTAATGTATTTCTGTTCAAGGCCAGTGTGGTACTTTCAAGGTTATTCTGACTCTCGCAAGCCTGGTGAAAACAAGATATTAAGGGGCAAGTGGTTTCTTCTGTTGTTTTCCTAAAATTTTAGGATCATTCCATTTTTCCTCTGAAACATTAGAAATAAAATGGAAATAGATTAGGATTGTGTGTGTGGATTATTTCATATTTAATGTATTTCTGTTCTTTTTTTTTTTTGCTATTCATCCCAGTTTGGAGATACCCAGTAAGTAAGCTTGTGTGTGAAAGTGTTCGCCTGCTGGTTTTTGTGGGTTTGGGGAATGGGGCTGGAAGTGATGGACTGTGAAAAAGGAGTGCTTCTTTAGGGGGATGGAAGATTACTTTTTTTGTATTGGGGGGGAAATTCTCCTTTTTGATGCTCTTTGTCCATGGTTTTATGCTTCTTTAGGGGGAAGGAAGATTACTTTTTTCATATTGGGGGGGGAAATAATTCCTTTTTGATGCTCTTTGTCCATGGTTTTAGTGCTAGGCTGGATGTGGTCTGTGCCCTGTGTAGGAGGGGCTGTGTCATTACAGCTAGTCAGAAGAGCCCCTGACAGAGAGGCCCCACTCTTTTGCTGTTTACTCTTCCTCTTAGGATTTTTCTGGGACACAGAGCTAATGAGCTGAGCTCACAGTGGTTTTGTGTGTAGCTGTGTAATGTCATGGGCCTTGACAGAGGAACCTTGCCTAATGTGGATGGATCTATATCTGCGCGAGCAAAACTTCATTGCATAAAGCTAGCTTGGATCTCAGTAGGGCGATTGAACTGGTTGTGTCTGCAAGCCACTCTGTTCTCTGTACTAAAGTTAAGAATTAATTGGGCTGGTTAAGAATTTGAGTGTAAATGAATGTAGTTAATACTGTGGCTAAACTTAAAAAAAAAATCATTTATGTATTGAAGTCCTGCTGTTTTTTCCCCAGTAATGCTGTGATGTTTGGCTTCATTCCTCTATAGCAGTGGTGACCCGTGCAAAGCAGACATTTCCGCACTTCAAGTAAATTGTATAAACTTTCTCTTTCTTTCCCCTTTCTACTCCCTAAAAAAATTTGCCATTGATCAGTGCTGATTCCCAAGGAAAAACCACCCATCACAGTTGTTGGAGATGTAGGAGGAAGAATAGCTATCATTGTGGTAAGTAAGATGCCATAGCTTTTGATAAATTATATTTAATATGTTAAAGTTGCAGAAATCAAGTAGATTTTCTGCTTTGTTAGCAACTAAACTTTGGTTAATGGTGGGCTTTTGATACTGCACTTCTTACACCATGAGGCAGCATTCTGCACGCTTACTGAAGCTGACTGTGTGAACTGTGATCTGTGCTGAAAAGCAGCATTTGGACCTTGTTACTATGAATAGGCCAGATAAAACCTTGTTTGAGTGCTTGCCTGAAGGTGAGGAGTTTCAGGTGGTGCTTCTGCATCAGATTAGGGGAAAATCACCCATGTTTCTAGCCTGTGAGTGAGGAGATGCCAGTGGAATGCAGAGATGGTGCAGTCTTACGGTTTCTCTAACGCAGAGTGTAATCTCTGGGCTTGTCATGGAAGAGGGCAATCTTCTGTTAGTTTAGTTTTTGAAAGGATGTCAGTTGCCTTGGCTTTTCCCCTCATGGAGCAATCCCTCTGTCCCTTGGTGTTGCAGTAGGGTGGGACGCTCTGCTTGTCCGCTCTTTCGCGCTTACTGTCTAGCTCGGGTGTCTGAAGAACAGCAGCAATAAAAATGTCCCTTTTGCATTGGCTGGAAACTGCTACGAAATCTTGAAAAAGGTGTAATGTCCATCTGCCTGTGCTGTGTTGATCTGCCTGAGCACGTGATGAATCTTCACTAACTTGATCTTGTATTGACAGGATGACATTATAGATGACGTGGACAGCTTTCTTGCTGCAGCTGAGACCCTCAAGGAGAGAGGGGCTTACAAGATCTTTGTAATGGCCACACACGGCCTGTTGTCTTCAGATGCTCCCAGGCTGATAGAGGAATCTGCAATTGATGAAGTAAGCATGGATTCTGAATTTCTGATCAAATGATTTAAGGTTTTTTAAGCAAGCAATTTTCTCCTGGCTTGATTATTAAAATATACTGGCATGAAGAACTGAGCTGGGAGGTTCCTGGGTTCAAGCTTTCTTACCAGGGAATTGGTTGCTAGAATATTAGCATCTACGCATCATTAAACTATAGCAGTGGGCAACTAGGGAAGAAGTGAGATGATGGACTGCTGGCATTAGCAGACTCTTCCTGTCAGTGTGGGGGATATTTTTGTACCTTCTTTTGGACCTGTGTGGCAGAATGAGAGGGAAGGAGGACAGTGCCATGAGTATCCATGGATACGTGGACATTCCCTTTCACAGTTCCAGTATGGGTGGTGGAAAACATAATGGAGCTACGTCTTTCTGATCATTTTTTCTTTCTGTAGGTGGTTGTTACGAACACAATTCCACATGAAATACAAAAACTCCAGTGCCCAAAGATTAAGACTGTGGATATCAGCATGATCCTCTCGGAAGCCATTCGCCGGATCCATAACGGGGAGTCCATGTCGTACCTTTTCAGAAATATAGGACTGGATGATTAATGCTGCTCATTCTAAAGAAACACCCTGGGCCAAACTGGAAGCGAACAGATAAAGAGCTGTGAAGCATCATGCTTACCTTAATATTTCTATTGAGCCACTTGTTTTCTCTTGGGTTAAGTATCAAGGTAGAACAGTTTTTTAAGAGCTTTTTTGGGGGGTTGGGGAATAAACATTTTACAAAAAACTGTTCTATTTACTTTTAGGTTAGTTGCACTATATACATGATGGAAAAACCCCACAAAACACTTGAGGCAAGAATTTGGCTTCTAAATCAAGCATTCCTTTTCCAAAGCTGCTTGCTACAAGTGCTTTCAAAGATAATAAAATGAAGTGACTGTATCATATTTGCATTTTAAAAGCCAAAAAGGTTGTACTGTTGTATGCAGTTAAGTGATTTTTTTGTAGGAGTGCTTTTATAGAAAAGCATATGAAATATGCACCTGTATTTATTTTCTGCAACAAAGAATAAAGACTTGTTTTGTGTGAGCTTTCTAAAAACGTTCACGTACTACTAGTCACTTATCTTCTAAAGTGTGTCCCCTTAACAATGATCCATAGGCATTACGTTACTGGAAGAAACCCAGAGGTGAATTGATTCTTCTGTGCTAACGTGCTACTTCGGAATATGAACAGGATTCTGGCTTCTCGGCAGTAAGGACAGTAACATCCGTTTTGCTTGTTGTTACAGTGAAACCCCTGCAGACGAGGAGGAGAGGCTGCTTTTCCCTAATAGTGATGCTCATTGCCATTTTTCAACCTGTCTTCTGCTGAGCAGCCTTGTAAAACGCCAAACCTGTACAACTGTTCACCTCGTGCTCGTAGGTGCTAGCACGAGTGTGTTTAGTTCAGTTGTAATTTGGCAGTCACAGTACGCTTCCTGTGTGCTGCTTTGCTTCAGAGAACGTGGGAGGGAGCTAAATCCGTGGCTGGACGTCAGGGAACAGCAGGGAGTTGGGAGAACTTGGGAACAGCGTGAGGGGGGCTGAGGTTCCTGGTGGTAAAACCCCAGTTGGCTCATCCACAGGTAAACTGCTTTTTCAGAGGTTTGTAGCCTGGCCTCAGTGCATGGATGTGCTAAAAACCATGGCCGTAGTGCAGAGCTGGACTTGTTCAGGTTTATTTTCCCAGCTGTCCTCAGGTACGCGGGTATGGAGAGGCGGCTGGCTGCCCCGCACAGAGCTTCCACTCTCAGAGGCTTGAAGTTCTTGCCCTGTTGCAGAGGAAACGGTGGTGGAATTCACGAGCATTTAGGGGTTTGGTGGGATCTCTCTCCATCAGAATGTCCTACGAAGGAGTATAAAACTCCTGGGGTGTTCAAAAGCAGAAAGGGAAATTAACCTTTGCTGACACCTCGTGTCTCTGAGACACTTCCAAGGGTTTTGGAAGGTTCGTTTGCTTCTAAGACTAAAAGCGGGTTTTTTTCCTTCCCTTGTCTGTCTGGGTACAGCACTGGGCACCATGGAGACCTGTGGCTGGAAGGCCCAGACATTGCTCAAAGATCTGCCGTTGTTGTTGGTACGTTCAGCAAGTGAGATGGCGATTTTATTGAAGCAGCTGCACGTTTCTGCTCAGATAACGCTGTTCTTCATCCTGTGAGCTGATTTTTCATCAGGTTATTCTGCTTGGTTTTTGCAGTCCTGTCCAGAGAGGCGCGTTCTGCCTCTCTGAAATGACCAAATGCCAGGCTGTACCCGGTTGTACTTTAATGACGGTCGGTTATTAAGCAGTTCAGCTATGTTAATAGATACACCAAGCTGAGGTATTAACACTTGTGTGTACTGTGAATGTGTTAATGCAGGTTAAATTCCAGCGGAGCGTGGGTGTGTCAGCGGCTGTGCTCAAAGAGAGGAGAAATACGCTGACCTGTCTCGGTGATGGGTGGATTAGTTGCAGTGTATTTATTTTATGATACATGGTTGGAGAGTGTGCTGCCACCTGAAAATGAGCCAAGCATCCGCTGCAGAGAACAATGTGATTACTAAACAGCAGAAAGCACTAAATTGAAAGGTTGGTTTCCCGCTGCTCGTTTCGCGTTGGCCGGTGGGAGAATAGCTTCATCTCTTCCGCGAGCCTTTCTGCTGGTGCTGAGGCTCCGCCTTGGACGTTCACGCAGCTCCTGTGTTTGGTCGGTGCTTCAGCACGTAGAAAACGCCCAACGTTGCCTAGTTCATGCAGCGCAGTTATTGTATTGATTAGGACTCAAGAATTTGAGAGCAGTCGTGGCTGTAAGAATGGGTTGCTGGTTCTTTGGCTTTTTGCAGTGCTGGAGTGGTTGAAAGGGGGAAAAGCACGTGCGACTTCACTCAGACATTTTTTTATATACCTTTCATCACAGCAGAGCTACCTAAACTCCAGGTGCTTTTCCCGGAAACAAAAATACCAGATCACCAGAAACGCCAGCTATTCTTGGAGGTGTTTCTCTGGGACCCTTCAAATGTAAAGAACACGTTAAAACCCCTGCTTTATCTGGTAATTGCTACAGCACTTAACTAGTCAGTAGGTCATGCGGCTTCCTTCCAGGCTCTTAGGATTTGCAAGAAGAATACTGGGGTTTGCTTTACAGGTCACAGAAGACAAAAGCTGTGGCAGTTTCTCCTCCTGCAGTGTCTAGATTTAGGGAAGAAGCTGCTGGGGGCGCGTGCCCCGAGAACCTGCGTCGCAGCAATGCGGTCGTTGCAGGGGCAGCTGCGTCGGGACCAGCGCAGAAGC